CTGTGGGCTCTATTTTGTCCACCCCGGCTCTAACATCTGCCATACATGCACCAGTAAAATATTAGGCTCAATTAGCTTATAAGGTTCCTTCTTAGCCTTACTTTCCTATGGTTCTCTAACATCTGCCATTTGTCCACCAGGTAAAATATTAGGCTCTTTCAATAAACATTAGACTCTTTACTTAAATAGTAACTAATATTGTTTGCATACATAGGTAGAGTGTTTTTCTTATGTTCTCCTAGTCCTGTAGCAGAAAGCCCCCTTTGTACATTTTTCTTCTGGACATGGATATAACAGAAGCCCCTTCTTGCCTGTCACTTACTGCCCCCAGTAGGCTTTGATCCTTACTACTTCACAGTGCATTTTTTTTTTCATCTTTCCCATCTTTACCATGGCATTTTGTATTTTATATGTTAGACTTTTAAACCCTTAAGGAATGTACTCCCCGTAGAATGAACTTACAACCTGGACCATTTTTAAAACTTCATTGAAATTGTAATTGTAGAGATAAAATCTGCTATATTGGGTGATCCTTTGAGTGAATGCGAGTGAATGGTGATCAGTAAGTAATTACATGACAGCAGCCTAGCCAAAGGAACTTACCATTACAAAACTCTACTCTACAAGCTATTTTAGTCTAATCAAGTCAAGGAACTCATTCCTGGAACTGAGCACCTACCCTATTGACTATTTCTGCAACCCTTAACAATACCATTGTAACTTTATTAAAATCACAAACTGACTCCTGAAACTGCACTACCAGCAGGCAAGACCCCTGTGACTAACAGCTGTCAGGTACTACTCAACACCCATGTGGGACAGCAATGTCCAGATTGGGCAGCCAAGATGATGCTGGGGGATCACATAAGTCTGCCAGAAAGGGATAAAAGGAAGTGAAGTGTGACCCTCAGTGGCGCCCTCTCATCCAGCACCTGACGTACGGAGACAGAAGGACAAGCAGACATTGCCTTGAAGGAAGCTGCCCACCGACAGCAGACTCCAGGGCCTCAGATAGGTAGATATACTGACACCAGTGCTCTCACAATCACTATGGCAGCTACTATACACTATACTACATGGGTTCAAATGACATGGGTTTGAATGAGTGAGTGCATGTATGTGTGCGTGTGTGTGTGCGTGCTTGCGTGTGCACTAAGGTGCCCAATACCTCTCATAACTCAAAGCTTTCATTTATGATTTTATTGGTACCTTCACATCCCATCCAATAAACTAGAATTTATGATGATCCCGAGAGTTGGTCCTTTGTAGCCAACAGTCCAATACATTTAGGTTTTGCCTCATTACCTTCTCCTGACTCCCCATATAACACATGCTTGTAACTTTACGGTAACTGCTTCCTAACTTCATTACAGATCATACCTGGCAATGTGTGTGTCTAGTCCTAAATATGAAAGAAAACCCAGCAAAAAATTTACGTATGTGCATTTTGGGAGTTTAGGCTATAGTGCAGACACTTTCTACTAGGCCAGGTGCAGACATTACACTTTTACTGATAGAAGTCATTGGAAACCAGTGTATACCCATAACAGAACAGAAGTTCAGCACACAAAACCAATCTATACCAGTAACAGAATACAAGGGAAGCACACACAGACTGGTTTAAAAATGGCAGAACCCAGCCTAAGATTTGCCCCTGTGCCAAAGGGCAATCTGTTCACTACCAATCTAAACTATGCTGCTTACAGAAAACTGTGTAAATTAGATCAATTCTTCCTTGGGCATTTGGATGTCTGTACCTAGCTCTAAAGTTCAGTACACACACACATATATGTATGTATATGAGTAACAGCCATGGCCACCAGATGACAGCAAAGATCACATAGGGGAGAGCAGCAGCTGTGTTTGGAAAGATCAGAGACTAGAAAATATTATACCAATGTTATTACGTTTACTGATACGGAGAGAGAGAGACAGAAAGAAAGACTTTTTTTACTTTTTATAAAGGTTTATTAAGGGGGAAATGGGTAACAATATAGCAAGGAAAAACAAAATACCCATGTAGGGACCCTGATACAACAGACAGAGCCTGGGGATTTGGCCTGCAAGACCTGCCATCACAGTCTAAAAATAAAAATATCTAGTACAACATCAGCCTGCTGAGACCCCTGCAACTACCCCAGGAAAGGGCTAGCAGTACCACAGCGCAAGGACTAAATGGCCACTCTTGACATTGCAGAGCACCTCCTGAACTGCCCAACATGGCTGGAAGGCAGGCACCATCCACTGGAGGACTACATGCTCAAACTCCAGTGACAGGGCTTCCTGCACCAAAAGGAGAGTCACAGGGCGTTGTCTGAGCCGGCCCCGGCAAGCCAGTTTCTGTGGCTCTTGAGGATGGCCATTTTAGCTTGGCTGAGTAAGAAGTTGGCCAGGCAGATGACAACCCCATTAACCACCCAGTAGGAAAGGAAGAACAAGTAAATGGCCTCTGAGTAGGCCAAGTCTACTGCCTCAAGTAAGACATTTAGGGAAGCAAATAACGATAACAGCTGGGGACATCTGAGGAAGGTATGATGAAGATCCTCCTCCACTCCCCCCAGACAAAAGGGGCTGGCTGCCAACACAGCTGGATCTATGCAGTGGATGAGAGTGCCAGTGGCCAGTACCCCATGTAGCAACCGTCACTGGAGGTCACCGGTCTTATTGGAGATGGGGGGCTTATAAAGCATGCGCCATGCAGGGTGGGCTGGTATGAGCGCTGGTACTGCTATGTGCCTTCACCATACCATGTCGAGCTGACTGGCAAGGATGTGTCCATGGTGAACTCAAATCACCCACAGCTACAGAGCCTTCTGGGGGAGCTCATTGAAGCGGATACCGGTGCCTCTGGAGTCCCAGCCAGATGGTATGTGACGAAGGAGGGAGTCAGCAAGGCTGCTAGAAGTGAGGCTTGGCAGACTGCACTGCAGGGTTGGGATATGGACTCCAGTCCACCCCACCACCCCTGCACAGATACAGGATTTAATGTTCCTCAGTCATTCTAGAAAGGACTTGATGGCCAGAAAGGGAAGCTGGCTCCAATAACTATCTTGTCTGACAGTTTAGTTCCTTCTTGTGTCTTAGGATTTATTTCTCCCAAGGTTTGGCCTGAATCTACCTTCTCGGGCTAAAGACACTTCCTCTTACCCTTCCCTCAGTGTCCATAGTGAAGTAGGAATGGGATAAATAGATATTCATCCTCCACTTCCTGGCAATCATTCAGATATTTAAGAACCAGTCTTCTTTTACTTCTAGCACTATATGCATCACAGCACCTTTTATTGACATATCTAAAAGCACTTTCCACATTAGGTGAGTATCTTTCTCTTTGCTTTGTGGGGGCAAGGGCTGGAGGAGAGACGGGGTTGGGGCCCAGGAAGGTACAATCACTTGACTTAAAGATGTCCACAGGATTGTGACGGTCCCAGAGGTGGAGTTATTTTCTCCAGTTTCTTCCCACAACTCTGCTGCTCTTTTCACAGGACTTAGCTGCCAGCCTGGAGATAGTCACAGCCTGGGCGAAACAGGGATTCAAGAACTCAAAGTGTATGTGTGTATGAGAGAGAGATGTCTGCTTATAATAAATATTGGTCTCTAGCTTTGCAGACACATATACTGATGTTGGATAAGCTACAGCAGCAATCCTTAACCAGGGTGCTGTGGCAGCTTGGGGTGCCTTGAAATCCTTTCAAGGATGCTGCTGGGTACCTCACAATATTGGCATGGTTAGCGGGGCTGTGCAAAATTTCACCACTAGTTTTGTTTCGAGGTCAAAACAGCAAAATCAAAACAAAACAGATATGGTCGAAACAGTCTTGAAACAAAACAAGGCAAGTCGAAACGTTTCACTGTTTTGACACTGATTCGACATTTCGTCCATAGGCTATAACGGGAAGGTTGAAACAGCCTATAACTTTGTTATTTCTGGCCAGATTTGGATAAAACATTGCAGAAAAGGTAGCTCCTCCTGAGGCCACAAAGCCTGCCATGTCTCAAGGAGATAGGTGCAGGGGGTTCAGAGAAACCGCATCGCAAAATCCTGAAAGCAAAACTCATGTCAGGTGTATGTGTTAAACAACAGCAGGGTTAAAGCTGCAGGCATGATAGCCCCTGTGGAGGCCACAAATCCTTTTAAGTTTCAAGGAGATCGATGCATGGAGTTTGGGGAAACTGTACCCCAAAATCCTGAAAGCAAAACTCCTGTCATGTGTATGTGTTAAGCCACAGCAGGGTCAAAACTGCAGGTATGCTAGCCCCTGCTGAGGCCATAAATCCTGCCAAGTTTCAAGGAGATAGGTGCAGGGGTTTGGGGGAAACTGTACCTCAAGCTGTGGACAAGCAAAACTCATGACATGGGTGACACTGTGCGTGTTAAGGTGCAGCAGGGTGAAAGCTGCAGGCATGGTGGCACCGGCTGTACACTCATGCTGTACATGATACTGTAGCCAGCAGGGCCAACACTATGCTGGCATGCATCAATTGATGCATCTGTAGCAAAAGCATTGCAAAGAAGTGATTCTCCTGCTCTGCTCAGCTCTACCCAGCACTGGTAATCAAGGGTGTCTTGATTAAAAAAAGGGTGAGAACGTGTTTTAACAAGGTCTCCGTTTCTAGCAGGCCTTCCTCCCTTTTTAATACTTAGTTTAACAAGGTCTCAACATCTAATCAAGCTCTTCTCCCTTCCTGGTAGGTGACCAGAGTTGGTTGGGTTGCAGGGAGTTTCAAGGCCCTTACAGATTGCATCTCAAAGGTAAGTCAAGTGCTTCTTTTTCAGGATCGTAGGCAGGTGTGGAGGGAGGTTTAACAATGATTGGATAACTAATTGGCTCATATAGCAAGGTAGTGAAATAGAGTCCACCTGCATGTATATCTGTGTGGTCACTGGTGACTGGGTTTCTTATAGGATCATTACAATCTGATTGGTTTCCTGCATTATTCAATGTATAGCAGAGGTATAAAAGATGTAACTTTTCTATCACACTTTGCATTTGTAACTCTTATGCATCTTGCTTCTGCTGGCAGATATAATCAGGGGTTAAAGGCTCCCTAGTTATGCTGACTGTGTCATGTGTGGGGCATGATTAGCTAGACTTCAATAGATTGAGAAGGGATTTGATAAATCTTCACATATGTGAAGGGTGATTATATAGATGGGCTTTTCTCTTTGGCTGTAGGGGAGAGGACTAGGACCAATGGCCTCAAATTGCAGCAGGGGAAATCTAGGTTAGGGTTTAGGAAGAGCTTTCTGGCTATGAGGGTGGTCAAGCATATGAATAGACTATGCAGAGAAACTGTAAAAGCTTTCAAAAGCAGGTTAGACAGATGTTTGGCTGTGATCATTTAGTCAGGGATGAACCTGACTTGAGCAGAAACCTGGGCTTGATGATCTTGTGAGGTCCTTTCCAAGCCCTTCTTTCCTATGTCTTTAAACTTAGCAAATATTGTATGCAGCAAACAAGGACAAAACCAAACAGCCACTTGCAAGAGTGTGCACACGCACACACAACTCCTCATTCTGAATTAGCAAAATTCAGGCCTAGAAGATTTCCTGTGGGATGAAAGGATTCTTTCAACTCAAATATCTAGCTGGTTTAATGAAAGAGATCACCTCTGCCACGAGTTCTGATTTCATTCTTGCAAATTGTCTTGTGCAGATTTGTGGCTCATATATTTTTTTTCATGTCTTCTTTCCTCCCTCTGCAGATAATATTCAAACAGACTGGAGGTCAGATAATGTTTGGGACCCAGGGCTCCACGCAGCACCCCAAAAGCTGGTTGAACCTCTCTGTATTTATGGAAAGCCTGTGAAGTTTCTTTTTTACACTTTGTGAGGCATATTCAAACTTCTTTTCACCCAGTCTCGCCATCCTCATGGCATATAGACAGGGCCTTAGGGTAGGGATCTGGATGTCTGGGGCAGAGGGGAGTTTGGTCTGCATGTTCATGTTGTTTTCATGTTTGCTACTGTTGTGATCCAGAGGTGGAGGCGCAGGGCCTTGCACTGAAGGGTAGACTCCCAGACAACCTGTGTATAGGTCAGAGGCCCAGTGTGCCCTCTGAATCTGTGACAGCACTCTCCCGAAGGGAGATGAGAGTGATCCTCACTGCTATATTGCAGATTGGGGAAACTGAGGCATGGCATTTTTATTTATTTATTTATTTATTTATTTATAAATAAATAAATAAAATAACCTTTTTTAGAGGTCAGGTTTTAAAGAAGCAGTTGTTCATTATGGGGTTTTCTAGCATAATATCATCACCAGCTGCATCCTACAGAGGCAGGAAATGAGGTGCAGTGAAGCTGGGCTCACAGCTGCCTTCCTTCTGGAAGGTCTATATTCAAGACTCCAACAGCCTTGTTTGTCCAGGCACTGACCCACTCGCAGGGATCCTTCCCTTCCTCCGAGTGGAGAGCACTGAGCCATTCTCAGACTTGGGTTCAGGGATCGAATTCAGCCACAGTGTAGACATGTACATAGGCTTTCTCTGTGGTGGAGCAAAATCTGGGGGGGGCACATGGATGGAGGGCCCTCTATAGCAGGGTACAGTGTACCCTGTGTGATGAGGTTTATCCTGAGGTGAGGGGCTGACACAATGGAGGCACAGGTACATTTAGCAGCAGTGAGCAGCCACCCATTCCCTGGGGTGTTCATGTGCAACACCCTGGCGGTACCCCAGGGGCAGTTGAGATGCTGGGTGTCTCCATTTGGGTAATGCATCAACTGCAAGCTTTTCTGCAGTAGCTGTTGCAGTCAGAAAGCTCTGCCTCAGTGATTTGTCCCAGGTCATGCTGTGGCTCTGTGGCAGCACTGGAAAAAAGGTACCAGGTGCCTGAGTCCTTGGCCAGGTCTGCCCCCTCACCTTAGGAGGGAGTGGGATCCAGGCTTAATAGTAATAATATCAATACCTAGTATCTGTAAAGGTAATAATTCTTATTATAATGTGCTTAAATTTGATACACGGTGATTCATTGATAAACTATATGTAAGAGGCCACTGTCATCCCAACAGATAATGAGATAGTAGTTCAGGCACAGAGTTGGGAAGCAGCTTGCCCAGAGGTCACCCTAAAAAGCAGTGGTATGTCCAGGTCTGAGCCCAGGACTCCTAGGTTGCTGCCCAGTGTGGTCCCTACAAAGGGCAAGCTGCCATCCCTTGGGCTGAGCTCAGGAGAGGGGTGAGGTCAGTTCTCTGCTCAATTCCTGACTTCTTGTTATGTCTTGGAAAATTCACTGAGGTCCCAGTATTTAAAGGCACTTATCTGCCTGGCTCCCAGGTTTAGGCACCTAAGCACCCTTATGTGCCTCTCCTTAATGTCTCAGTTTCCCCATCTGTAAAATGGTGCTTTGTCGGTCTTCTCTGGCTGTGTAAGGAGCTCTTCAAGACCAGAGGACATATGCTCTTACCCTTACAGCACCCAGCACTTCAGTGCTCTGAACTTGGATGAGGCCTTTTGTAGTTTTTACTAAAAAAAACAAATAAATAAATAAAAAAAAATTGCCAATTCTTATGATATCTTCATGAATCATTCAGTATTTGGTGTTTTTCCTTACAGTTCCTCATCAAGGAATCCTGCAATTACCCTGGAATCTCGACTCGGACCGAACAATCCATTTCTAGCCTGTGTGGGCAGCAGTAATAGCTTGAAATCATGAAGGATAAGGCAAAAAAAAAAAAAGTTGAATATTGTTTATCTTTTGTAAATATCTGCTTTTTTTATATACATATCATATATGTTTTTGGCAGGGGTGCCTTATGACTTTTGAACAGCTGGTGTTACGAATTATGGGCAAAGGAACATTAATAGCCTCTGAGAAAAGTGTTATGAAGGGGATTAGTCCAGCCTCTGAAACAGAGGACTGGAAAAAGAAAAAAGAGAGATCAGTTGGGTTCCTATTGCTTTTTTTTTGGTCATCAGCAGGGGGCACTTCATCTCATTTTCCATGTCTGAACGGGTAGGAGGTAAAGAATTGAGCCTGATGTCTCTGAGCTGGGCCTCACCAGATAATATTCCTTGACCAAATTTATAGTCATTTTTGTCTGCCTAGAGCTATCATTTCCAAAGCAGCTAGTCTGGGTGCCTAAGTTTTATGGTGTCCAAAAAGAGGTCTGATTTTCAGAAGTTGACTATGCTCTGAAATGCTTAGCTCTTTTCTGATGTCCAAATCTAAGTATCCAGACACCATGGTGATTTAAAACCATTTGTCAATGTAGGCCTAAAAACAGGGTTAAGAGTAGATAAATCTAATAGTTAAGCAAAAGTTCAGAACTCCAGTGCTGTAGCTCCCTAGGTGTTAATTAACAAATGTGCAAAGTTTTAATTAACATGGGACGGTCCTTTTCCTTCAGGGATAGCAGGTTCAAAAGGATCAGGCTGTGCTTTTAATTGGATGGTCTGGGAACTAATCAATGGCTGAAAAGTTTTGGAAGAAGCAGCAACAAACTTGTACTGCTCCAACAGGGAAGCTGATAATGAGTGTAAAGAAAGGAGGGGGGTGGAAAATAGAAACACGGGTTCTGTTTGCAGCAGTTCAGCTACCAAAGGCAGATTAGGATACTAAAAAGATAATAAAAAAAATACCCTTGGGTTAGATTCCTGGCTAGAGTCAACAAATGCATGGCTATTCACAGGGCTATCACAGAATGATACAAAATAGGACTGTTTCATCACAATGCCCTTTGAATTAAGCAGCAAAGCACTCTTAGCATTGTCCTCAATGATCTTTAGAAAACACACAGATACATGAAGTGTGTCCAAACAGATTAGACCAGACCAGTGGCCCTGTCATCTCCAGTCTCTCCTAGTCTATCCCAAGGGACTCCAAGGAAGTGCAAAACTCCCTGCAGCAGACAATTCTGAGATAAGCTGTTTTGAGAAGTTTTTCTTCTCCCTTTTATCAGTTACAATCTAGGGCCTGAAGCTTCAGAGCAGGAAGGTTTATAACTCTTCCAAGTTTTTATTTTCCCCCTACCTCCATGTACAGTATTTCCCCCAATGATAAATAAATGAATTTAGGGGAAAAAAGGGGGTCAGTGAGTGCGTTACTGAAAGAGTCCTCTGGCTGGAATATTCAGAAGTGTCATTGCACATGCCTATACCTGCTTGTGGCCATCCTAAGGAGCACCACTGTGAAAATGTCCACCCCAAGTGACATGCTTGTGGTATGCATTCAAAATGGTTTTAATATGGCAGTGTAGCTGCAGCTGTGGGTGGCACCCAGAGCGGGCTCGGCACCATGCATTCTCCATCCTAGTAGTCTCTATGTGTGGAGTGGGAGTGAATGGGTTTAGGGAAGATTCTCGTGTCAGTGCTCCACAGCCTGGTCAGAAGCAGCATACATGGGCCATCTATGCCTTTTTCCTAGACTGGCATCATTCGAGGTCAAAAGGGACTGCACCTTGTCTAACCTACAGCAGACTGCAGGATGGTTGAGCTATTCACACATTGCCTAGCCACACTTCACAGACTTGAGCTGCTGACTTCTCAAGAAAACCGGCCGGGCATGACTTTGGCTCACTGCTTGGCTAGGAACACCTGCTAGCATTGACCCCTGCAAGCGTGAAGAATGATGCCTGTGATTCCCCGAGGTGCAGGAAGCTGCCGAACTCTTCTTCCTGTAGTTTCTGGCTCATTCACTTAGAAAATGGTTTGAGATGTCCAGTGAATGAACTATGACTTAAGACAACCTTGGGGGCAACCTAGTGAGGTCAACTCAGCTCATCTTCTTGGTAGGAACTCTGCCAGGAAAGGCCAGAGGCATATATTTATAATAAATGGTGTTTAATTATGACCCTCCTTCCAGCCCTGGGATCATTCCATCACAGCTCTGCCAGTGCCCTTCACTTTTGACCCATAGACCCATTGCTTTCCTAGTGCTCAGTTCCCATTCCCCTCAGTCTTCTGCCACATCAGCCTTGGTCTTCTCCGTCATATTGCTGCCCATTCCCCTTTGTCTTGACTCAGAGTCACTCTACTATTTTGGTCCTGGCTCTCTCCTGTCCATCACAGTTGATGTGTATGGTGCACTTCCTTAGCCCCAGCTCTGCCAGGGGCTTCCTGTCATACCACCATGTCTTCCATTTAATACATACTCTTCACATAGGGATCAGAGGCCTGATAGCTGAAGCTGTTCAGGTGCCTGATGGGAATCACTTCACTTTGAACAGTAGGTGAGGGGGGTGTGTCGTTGAGTTACAGGCCCTTAAAATAACTGCATTTGCTGTCCCAGAACCAATAAGGCTTTAATGCAACCCAAGGCTTTTGGTGATTCCTAGGACACAATTAAATAGGAGGTTGGTTGTTCTGGCACACAGGAGCCCAGTATAGGAACCAGTCATCAGTGAAATCCTGGCTCCTGGGAAGACAGTGTGAGCTTTGTTAAAGACTGTAGAATGAGGATTGTACCCTCAGACCTTACAATCAGGGGATCAGGCCATGGGTCCATCTCACTTGTTGTCCTATTTCCAGTTCCTGTTGGTGCCAGCTGTCCAAGAGGAAGTAAAAGGAATCCTGTAGTGGACAGTTTTGGGCTAATATGACATGAGAGGTTACTGAAAGGATCCTGGTGGACTTGGAAGAGAAAATGAAGGGGCATCATGTTTCTAATTTGAGTGGGTACCTTGGAAAATCTCCCTTATCCAAACAGTCTGGGGCTTTCAAAATGATTTCTGGATTTTCCTAGTGAATCCTAACATTTAATTTTATAAGTGATTGAGTGAGACAGTGCAATTTATTCCTGGTTTATTACTTTAATCTAAATTGATGTATCATTGACTTAGAAATAATGGAGATAAGCCAGAGATAAACCTACATAAATATCTGTCCAAGAAGTTCCATCAATGTAACATGAAAGTCTGAACCAGATTAAAATCTTTGTCTTGTGTTAGGCAAGTGCTCAGACAACATCAACCAATGGCCCCTTCTGGCATTGAAATCTATGGGCCTGTTAAACTAAAGTATTATTTTTTTAATCAATAACTGATACAGCATTTGTGAAAATCCAGATCCTAAAATGTAGCTAACAGAGACAAAAATGAGACCAATTTAAAAATGCAATACAATTAAAGAATGGCATTAATTGGTACATTTACAAGGCCTGTTTCTCAAAGGGCTCTGCATTTGCAGTTCAAAGGGAAGTTTCAGTTTTGGTTACTGCTATTCTAGTGACATATTCAAATGAAATAATACCTTCAGAAAAGTAGCACCTGGTTGCCTTACTCCCTCCCCTGATTTACAAGTAACATCTCTCAAAACACATTTTTATTTTATATCTTGTTAAATGTCCAAGAGACCAATATAGAATATAACAAATGGTGCAAAGAAAGGCCTTTAAAATGGATGTAACAGTAACCAGAAGAAATGTCTAGACAACAACAGCAATACAGATGTGACTATTTGCTGCTTTATTCTCTTTCTTTCATGAACAAATGTGCTCTGTCACTACATACCTTTTCCTCAAAGTTATTTTAACTTCAAACAGTAGGTGCTGGCTGCATACAATTTCATTCCCTGTGTTATACAGGAAGAAAGGCAAGAAAATAGCTGGGGTATAAAATCTTTGGATCAATTATGCAGATGTAGTGGAAAAGTTGGAAAATATCTAATGAAGTCTAATCTCATTTATACCAGCCAGGCCTTGTAGTCTAGCAGGAAAGGGAGATTCAGAGTCAATGAGTCCCTTGCTCTGAACCTGAATTTTCTGCTTCCAGCCACAGTGCTTTAACCAACAGGACACAGGCTAAGCACCACTGAAGCCCCTTGCAAGCCTTTGTGTTGCAGCTGACAGGTAGACAAAAGAGGGAAGTATGAGCATCCAGGGGGAAGGAAATACATTCAAGTTTGTGTGGCTTACTAAGATGGCTATTGATGCCCCAGATGGGTGTAGGCCTTGAGTTTTAGCCTAGCCCCATACCCCCCAGTGGAGCAGAAACGTCCCTGCTGCTTTCCATAGTATTTCTTAGATAAAATCAAAATGGAAAGTGCTGTATTCCAGCTTCAGAAAGAGAGATGGTGATGGGGGGCCTCAGTAAAGCCTAATGGATGGCCTAGTGGTTACTGTGTTTTCTTGAGAAGTAGGTTTCAAGTTCAGCTTTTCTCTTGTTCATGGGACAGGCAGAACTTAGGTCTCCCGATGCCTGATCTGCACTTGATTTGCTGCCTTCACATTAAGGTCAGTTGCCATTTTGGGAAGATGTGAATTAGGTAAATTAAAGATACTCGGGTAACCTTCTGCTGCCCAAGTCACATGGGAAGCCAGATGTGATACTGTGATGGTCCCTTTTTGCCTTAAAATGTGTGACCTTTGGAGTTAGTGTGGCCTGCCATTTCCATACATGGCTACACACTTGGGCAGAGAAGCTTTAAGCTACTTCAGACAGGCTGTAGGAGCTACTGGTGGCAAAATAAAGATTACAGTGTTGACCTAAGGGAAGTCTCCAGCTAGGGTGAATGGGCCTGGCCCCATGAAGCAGCACCAGGTTCTGGTAATTAATACCAGAACTATCTTAGAGATTAATACCACCAGAACAAGTGATTAGCATTGTATTAGATTGGTCTAATAAAAGATATCAAATTCACCCAAGGAACCTTGTCTGCCTAGCACCCATAAGGAACTCACCTGGCAGAAATATCTTGGTTCAAATAAACCCACTCTACTGAATTGATGGAGGCCCAAATTATTCAATAGCATTAATGGGCATTAGTCAATAAGACCCATGCCTCTAAATACACTCAACCAATATAGTAAACAGTGTTCCTTTTAGAATCAATGTTCTTCTGTAATGCACATACTTTAGTGTGAATCATCAAACTTAAGTTGAAGCTTTGGGCCCAGGTGGTTCAGTGCACAAAGTTAGTCTCTCTGTAGTATTCAAAGAGCTTCTGAATCAATCCTACCTGTCCCAAATTAACTCCAATTCTCCAAAGTAATGGCTTCTGGGAGACTTCAAAAGCTTCATTATGGGACTGAAGAATGATGTTTAGTCATCATAGCTACTTTCTTTGCAAAGGGCCTGGAGAGATATGGGTAAAAAACACTTTATAAGAGTGCTTTGTGTGCTATTCTAGTATTTTCAATCAATTCAGTTCATCTTTAGAGTAAGCTCTTTTGCACCGAATCAATATTTGTATCTGGGCCTTTAGTGTCTCCTATTTAATTGGTCTGGAAATGTCTACAGTCTCTTTTAGCTTGATGCTATGCTAGCCCAGTCCATAACAAAGCTCCCTGTCCCAAAGAGTTTCCGAATGAAGTACAAGAAAAAAGACAGTCTGAAGGCACAGAATGAGAGATGGAAGAGAACAACGATACATTGGTCAGTCTGTCATTGCACCATTGGTTTCAGTAGCACATACTGGGGGTGCCTGAAAAATTCCTTCAAACTATTTTTTGGGTGGTGAAAGTGGCATGTTAGAACTGAGGGCATCTGGCTCTTGAGCCTTGTGTTCTGGGTGAGTCAAGTCCTTTTGTTTGCGTTCTCCTAACTTGTAATGTGTGTGTTACATAATTCACCCCTTCCCCTACCCACTGTCCAGTCAATGTTTTGGGGGAGTCTGAACATGGGCCTGTCTATCCTGTCACTCGCAATGCCAGAGAGTAGATGGTAAGGGGAAGAACATTTCTTCATATCTTGTTCAGACTCATCTGTCTCCTGCCCTTCTCCCCTTACAGCATTCAGATGCAGAAGTGCAGAGCCCTTCAGCTAGACAAAACCAGAACCAAAGCTCAGGACTGCTAAGCTTTTAGTTGAAGGCTCAGTCCTCTGGGTCACCATCTGTGGCAGCCAGATCTAATGGGATTCCCACAGGACCCGGGTTTCCAACTCTTTTAGTTGCTACTGAAAAAAACATCAGAGGTCCTGTTTCCATATCTGAGTATCTCACAAGCCCTTTTTGGGCTGTGGAAGTGCTGTGAGCCCTTTCTTTACTGACAGCAAACTGAGGAATGGGTTCTCAAAGGTGTTTGTGTGTGTAACTTGGGTTGATTTCAGTAGAAGTTAGGCCTATGAGGACTGGCCTACTGTGCTGCATGAAGCCTATGACAAAAGCAAGAGTAAAAAAGTAGTGCTAATCCGTACTGAAGTGCTAATCCAGACCTGAAGTACTGAAGAGACCTTCATGGTTATCTCACCTGCCCTTCTGTATACCACAGGTCAGGAGGCAGAAGAGTTAGCTTGAGCTAATAAAGACATCCAAGTTTGGTGGAGTTACAGATGCTTTAGAGAGTACTGGTAGAATGATCTGCCTAGATTAGAGAGTTGCTCTGCAATCAACCAGATGTGATTCAACAAGGATAAGTGCAAAGCCCTGCACTTGAGACAGAATAAGTGTGTGCCCTAATGCAGCATGGGGAATGACTGACTAGGCAGCAGTATTGCTGAGAAGGACCTGGGGGTTACTGTGGACCATAAGACCATACAGTGAACCACAAGCAGCAGTGTGTCCTTGTTGCAAAAAAGACAAAACCAGACTCGGTTGAATTATTGTGGAATGTCGCCTGCAAGTCAGGGGAAGTGATTTTCCCCACTCTATTTAGCACTGGTGAGGCCTCATCTGGAGTATCGTGTCCTGTTTTGGGCCTCACATTTAAAGATGGATGTGGACAGACTGGAAGGAGTCCAGTGCAGAGTGACAAAATGGTTATGGGAGGCAAGACTTACGAGGAAAGGCTGAAAGAGCTAGGGGGGTTTTAGTCTGAAGAAGAGAAGATTTGCTGGGGTGGGGGGAATCTGACAAGTCTTCACATGTCAAGGGTGATCACAGAGAGAATGGAGATGATCTTTTCTTAGTACCTTATCTGCTAGGTTGTCCCACACTACATGGCAGAAAGGTCAGATTCTTACTGGGAGCATGCACCATACACAGCATGGCAAGTATCTGGGAGAAGGCAGCTTGCATCTCAGTTGAGTCTTGTACATGCTACAACAGATAGTGATGGGATATCTCAATCACTTCCCTATCGTAGCAGAGACATTGGTGGCACCTTGTCTTGTCTCCTCTGTGCTTATGGCCCGTGGCTTAGCTTCCTGAGAACTGACATGGTTTATTCTAACTCAGGGTTGAAGTAACACAATGGTTCGTCTGGGCCCTTTGTTTTTAAAATGCTATGTTACACATAGATGCCAGTGGCTATCCCATCAAATAACAGCATTTTAATGTAGCTAATGTTCATAATTAGCTTTTGTCCCATCCAGATACGAATGCCCTGCTTAGTTGTGCAGCTCTTTGACACGGGATATGCAAGGGGAT